CCGTTTTCCGGCAAACAGGATATTTTATGCTCAGAGGGTATTCATGGTCATGGATATAAAAGTACTTTTTATTGGCTGTCTTACCATTCCATTGCCACCTACGCTTCATCTGTTGGTCTGTCCGTTGACCAATGAACCCCAACATGGCACCACCCTCCAGTCAAGGTATACCTACATTAGTATTATTTATGGACTCAGTCCCAATCTCTGCACCACAGGAGTTCTAGCCCTAAGCTCTTTTACTTACCTACTTCAAAGTTCTCAATTTTATTGCTCTTGGTCAAGAATCTTAATCAATAGTAACTTTGCATTTCCGTTCAAATTTTATTACTTAGCATCGATGGGCTTGATTGAACCCTATAGGTTTACAGTTTTCCATCGGGAACAGTTTTTACAATTCTAAAGAAACACTTTGGCTTTACTGCACGATGGAAGTTAGTTATTGACAAACAAGTTGATGAAACAAGAATATTAGCAGTCTTCTTTAAATTCATCATTTCGGAAGTTCTATGGTCGATACAATGACCTTTTCAGCAAATACAATCTTTCATTAAGTCAAATGCTGACTGAATTTTTTCATACTAATTGTTAGGCCATTATTTAAACACAGAATTGTCGACGGATTTTCCCGTTATTTCCCGATCATGACAAGGAGCACACGGCGGGTGTGACCGGTCGGCAGGGGATGCTCACTCCTCCATGGAACCTGATCCCACTTTTGATGTCTTAGAGGTCCGTGTTTGCTCTGGTTCTATTTTGTAATGTCTAATGGACTTCTGAGCTCGAATACTGTTCGTTATCTCCACATATTTCATTTCATAACCCATCTTGTAACAGGAAAACAAAATCGATTGTTGAAATGTCTAAGAAATAACATAAAATCTACAAAAACTGCGATGCATGACGTTTTTCGGAAAAAGTCACAGGTAATAAAACATGGATTCATCATTTTGAATCTCAGAGGAAAATTGGTAACAAAATGTGGCTTTCTAAAAAGGCAAAACACCCTGTTATCGCAAAACGATGTCAAAGTACTAAGAAAGTATAATTTTCTTAAACAGTGAAGGTCCTGTAGTTTAGGTTGCTATTCCAAAAGACCGATCAATAACTGAACACTTATATAAAATTATGTGCAAAAGAAAGTTAAGAAACACGACTCCTTCATGCATGACAACGCCCCAGCACATGAATCCCAGATTGTGAGATTATTTCTAGAAAAAGAAAAGGTTTTACCCCACCCTCCCTATTCACCCGATTTGTCTACCTGTGACTCTTTTCTTTCCCCAAATTGAAAAAGCACTTGTCATGAAGAAGATATGCTTGAAGGAATGCATTGGGTTCTGTCATTTATCAGTTCATGAACACATTCCCAAAACACATTCCCAAAAAATATTACTAGTATATGAATGCATATGCATTCAAAGCTTGGACAAAACGGTTGAAATTATGTGAGTGACAGTGTGTCTGTCTAAGGAGAGTATTTTGAAGGAAACCATTTCAAAAAATTAACAAATTTTTTTAACAGCGATGACATTATTTATTGAACGCCCCTCGTATTACAATTGTGATTATAAATTACGAAGTGTGCTATATCAAATGTACACTAATTTGTTGTAAAACCAATTTCCCACAAATATCGCACAAATTAATAATTATACATTTCAGTACGCGGTTTATGATTTTGTTCATGAGATACATAGTAAATGATGATGAAGATATTAATAACGTTTTGTAAAGTTTTCAGAATATAAGTTGAATTAGTGAGACATGCATAAAAATATTTCAATTATTGTATATCCTATTTTTAAAACAAAAGCAGATCATCATTTTCGTAATATGCACATTTTCAAAACTTTCTTCTATAGAGAAGGAAATTGGTTAAGTTTCCGATATATCCTAGCGAGCTTGACATAAAAGATACCACAGAGTCTGACACATCCGTTTCATATTTGGATATTTTACTTGAATAAGACATAAATGGTAACCTTACAACAAAACTTTATGATAAACGTTTTGACTTTAACTTTTCTATCGACAACTTCTCTTACTTGATCAATACATAGGGCTCAGGGCGGGTGTGATCGGTCGACAGGGGAAGTTTACCGCTTCTAGACACCTAATTTCCAGGGGTCCGTGTTAATGCCCAGTTCACAGATTTCTATTGTGTTTAGATTTTATGAGATCGATCACTGTTTGTTGTTTTCACCTTTTTTTCATTATGAAGCAATATACCCTTATCATTTGCATATGGGTTATATGTCTCCCAACTGATCCGTTATGCAAGAGCGTAATCTACTTACAAACAATTTATAAACCGAGGCAAACTATTGACCGAGAAGGCGATGAATACATATGAACAGTTTTGTTTTAAATCATCATTTCGAAAGTTCCATGGTCGATACAATGACCTTATCAGCAAATACAGTTTGTCATTAAGTCGAATGCTAACTGACGTTTCTCATACTGATGGTTAGGCCAATATTTACACACCGAATTATCTACGGATTTTTCCTTTTTTCCTCATCATGACAAGTATCACACGGAGGTTGTGACCGGTCGACAGGGGATGCTTACTCCTCCATGGCACCTGATTTCACCTCTGATGTTTTAGAGGTCCGTGTTTGCTCTAATTCTGATTTATATTGTTTAAACTGACTTTTGAGCTTGAATATTGTTTGTTATCTCAATATTTCATTTCATTAAGGTTTGATGTATTTATCACCGGGGAAAATAAGTGTCAAAACTTTCCGGCAACAATGAAACATAAAAATGCTTACGATGGAATAGCACTTTATTATAACTTAGGTCGGTAGGGTGAATTCTGGAAATCCAAAAATTACACCCGAACAATCCGAAGCCTAGGACTTGACTGATTAACAATGATGCATGTAACATATAAATAATAAAGTATAACAATGACAATTAGCACAATTCTGAACATGAGTGACAGATGGTTTAGATAGAATAACTCATGACATGTTGAGTAAATTGATTAAATTGGCGCGTTTTGAGTAACATAGTAATTAGCATAATTAAAGTTTTTCGTGATATTTAAAGTAATTACAGATAATTAAAAGTATATTTCAAAGTCAGGTAAAACATGTCACTAAAATTGTTTTTAATCAAAATTTACACTGTGATATATTAAAGAGGGTCCAATTCCGAAAGATCAAGAACTTAGAAAGTCGAATTTCGAATCATAGAAAGTTAAATGTATTTCTGAATCATCTAAATTTGAAGGGAATTTGGCCTTCATTAAACAAATCCGAATTTTGAGGTTCAAGTGCAAGATATGGTTTGTGTAAGGTTTGGCTGAACTTGTATCACTGGTTTTCGAGAACAAGCCTGCAATTTTTTTTAATCTGTACAGTCTAATACTCAAGTTGGATTAAAAAAATATTTGTGTCTTTAATTTGATTTTTGATTTAATTTTTCTGTACAAATCCTGATGTGTCCGCGCATATCAAAATTGGTTTTTTCATATTTTTCAGGAAATTTTTGTTTTCGTTTTTTTAATTTAGATGAATATAACTAAATTTACATCGGGCTTTTTCAGATTTTAAACACAGAGACTGGTTTTTCCAAATTGTGCATTAAAAGAATAAACTCAATTTAAACGGCCATGTAATACGGCTTATACTTTAAGGGTTGCGTTTATAGTTTTTAGAGATTTGGACAAGGTCAAAAATTTTCAGAGAAATTCATTTAGTTATGAATAGGATTTAAAACGGTTTTCACATGAGACATGGATATCCATCATATTCTTCCTAAATATCGGAATGGTATCACAAGTGTACATTGGATAGAGTTATTTTGATGGGAAAAAACAGATTCATGAAATCTTTATACTCTTGAAACAGGCTCGTAGGAAGCAATTTCAGTTTTTTTTTTTTTTGGGGGGGGGGGGGCACAGCTGAACATTTTCAGTTGTGGGGCACTATCAACTACAAAAATTCCTTGACAACCAAAAAAAAAAAAAGGTCATCAGACGTTTTTATTGAGGGGGCACAAGCATATAGTAGCTATGTTTTCTATAGTAATCTATATATCGGCATATCGTGCCCCCCCCCCCCCCCCCCGGTTCCTACGGTCATGTGAAATGCATTTTTCTCTATGTAGCCTTCAAAATGACTGGAAATTTCATTGAGAACCAATATTTTAAACAAATTTGAACCATTTATCTTGCTTGCATCCTATTTTAAAAAAAAAATGCAAAAGCACGGGTTCCATTATTTCATCATATATCATTATTATCTGTGTGTGCAAAGCATTGCATAAATGATTAAATGCATAAATAATTTAACCAAAAAACTTCACGGGTTTAAGAAAATTATAAGCAGTTCTTCCGCTAAACCAATGGATTGTTTAATTATGGCATAAACATTTTCTGTATAATATATACATATGTTGCCTCCATAAAAAAAGAAGAAATTACAAGTGTCAGGTATTCTTATAAACACTTTTCTTGGAATTATCCCAGTTGTAAAAAACTGGAACAGTATGGCACACTGTGACAACATAAACATAAGTGGTATGAATAAGCTGCAGAGACACTTTATATTTGAGAAGTGTAATATTTAGGATGAATTCCGGCTGGTTATACCACTGTCACATTAATTTATATAACAAGTGAAAAGTCTGTAACAATCCACATACTTATTTATTTTGTTCTTGACAAGAAAGGGGCCAGATTTCTATCCTACGGAAGAAAAACTTTTCTTTATACAAATATACATGTTCTGTATAAGATAAATCGGGTTTACCATGCTACATGTAACTAACACATTTTGTGCCCTACGATTAGAAAGAAAATGGATTTTTTTTCTTCTTTTGTTTATTTTTTTTTTTTAACTTTTCTAATTTTATTCTATTTTCAAATGGCTGAAATACATTATGATTATAGATAAAGTGTAAAGGTAATGAAAACGAACAGTAATCAATATCATATATCTACTTAAAAAAACAAAAAAGTAAAAAGTATCTTTAAAGCAATGTCGTTCAATATTTAGATTCATGTATAACAATTTAACAAATCACCAATAAACGAGGTTTTGTAAATAAAATATCAGTAATCATCGATATCATTTATGATGTATCGCTGAAATGGGTGTGTTTTCTTTAGTCGACATCAGGTCAGTCGATGGATAGCACCTTTTTTGTGTCACCCATAATCATATCGTGTATATATTAACACTGAAATAAAAAGTATTTTCAAGGTCATTTCAATCATCGAAAGCGAGTCTAACGGAAAAAATTCCTGATGATCACTTATAATTATCTATAGCGTGTACAGCAACAACAAATGAGTAGTATTTTTGACTTAAAGGTAAAATTTTGGTCATTGATACGTTTATTGATAATTACCGATTACTTTCACAACAGACTAACGATCGGAGAGCGTCTTTGCTGCGTTTTCTGAACTGTTTACTGATGAAGCAATACACAACTGGATTCACAACAGAATTCAGAAAGTATGAACGAAGTACGACATTATACACTCCTTTACCCACAGGCGTCAAACGGGTGTAGAATTCTGGATCCGTGTAACGTAGAATAACAGCGATAGAATAAGGTAAGAACGATAAAATAAACAGTAAGGTGACCAGAAAAAGCATTAACGTGGTCTTTCCCGCGTGAATCTTCCTTTTGGACTTGGGAGCATTTGAATCTGTTGAAGAACGAGTTTTTAATGAGTCCTTTAGTTCTTTCATTAATTCCTTGTCTGGACTTGAAAGTTTACTTTTCACTTTTGCTTTCTTAGAATTCAGAGATAATTTTTTCCAAAACACAAAGGATATTCTATTAGATGTTCTTGCTTTAGATTGCTTCAGCGCTTGTTGGTCTTTCTCTAAGTCGTCTGCTGTAAAGCTAGTCTGCCATTCCTCTACTTTGTTGTCATTTTCAGTTTTAGGAACCTTGCTACTCACAGATTTTGTTCTTATAGACTTTTGGAACTTTTGTTGGCGGAAGACAGCTTGGCCAACGAGAGAGTATAAAATAATAAGCACTAAATCTACCATAAAATGAGATGAGAGCAAAAATATTACAAATATTAAAGGATATATCGTTTCTGCCATATTGTCTGAAATTAAACATGTTTTTCCTTTAATATATATGAACTGTTTCAGTGGAAATGTCACAGTAAATGTACCATAGAGTAGCAGCACCGGCCATGACGTCACGGCGGCAAAGAATACAGAAATGATAACGAGGTTCCTGGCCAGATCCACAGAGATCGGGTCCTTGTGTATCCTGCATATCCTTAGGAAGCGGTCAGTCGCAATGGCAACGAGAATGAATGTGGAACCACTGTTAATAGAGGCAGTCACAAATCTCGATAGTTTACACCAAACTGGAAAGTCAAAATCCAGGAAACGCGATAGAAGTACGATTTCTGTCGTTATAGAAGATAAACAATTAAATAAATCATAACATCCCAATGCCAAAATAAACACTCGAGATGTGCTCGCACACCCTGGCCATTTGAAAGAGTACACGTAAACAACCATGAGATTTCCCGGAATACCAACTAGAAGCAGAATACTAACGTATACAAGGGAAGGTAACAACACTGACGTCATAAATTTGTTGCTGACTTCATCAAACACTGGTCCAGAAGATATAAAGTATGGAGTCCGTTGTGTGGTTAACCAAAGTCGACTCTCAGAATCATTCCCAGTCACATTTTGAAAAGAGTTGTTTGTAAACCAACCAACAATTCCATTTGTATAGTTATAATCCATCTTAGAAGTTGACTGAAATATAAATAGATAAAATGCTTTTAGTACCCCAAAATACAGTATGCAACATGCAAAGCATATTTCTTTTTAATTTATTGTATTCCACACAGTTCATGCATCTCTCAGACAACAAGGTATAAGAGAGCTGTACCCAACGGACCTGTTTTAATATTCATTCTTAGTGGTTAAGTCCGTTTAACTACCGAGTCATATTTACTGAAAAGAAAGAAAATTAATGAACACGAAAAGAAATTAGTCAAATTCAATTGAAACATCTATAAATTGGCTTAATTTGCAAAAAAAATTCAGACTGCATATTGTGAAGAAATAACTTTGCATGCCTGCTAAATATCGGCCATTCTCCTTGTATCTTATCATTCAAGGATGCAGTGGTCCAGGGTTTTATACTTTAAAAGAATTCATATATACTTATCAAACAAATCAAGGGATTTGACACAGGAATGCATCTGATTTACTTTCCAAATAGATACTACTTATACTCTAATTGTCAGTCATTTTGTTGTCAATTTATACAACAAAGATATTCGCAAGATGTTTTATCAAAACATTCAAATACACCCTGATGCTTGGAACACATGCAGTAAAAATTATTACAAAAGAAGATGTAGTAATACCAAATAAACCATTTTTAACGATTTCTAAGCGTTTAGAGCAAGTCAATCAGTTTGGCAACATTTCCGGGTTTGACCCATTTCTTCATGGTATACCTCTGTTACTCTGTTACGTATCTTTTATCAGCTGCAGCTAGTACTTTCACTACTTTGATTATTCAATTCCGTACAAAATAAAAGAAGTCCTGCAACAATTAGACACACTAAACAGTTCCTAGAAACTAGAATAAACAATCGCTGTATAACGTTCACCAGATTCGGTTTTCATCAGATTTTTCTAGAGTTGCAGATCTGAATATTCAGTCTGGAACTGGGTTTGTTTTTCCTCTGACATCAAATAAATAATGTGTGTTCTTCGATACTCATGAAAAAATTCAGATAAATTTCACAACTCACATGTTAGGTTTCTTTAAATCTTCGATTTTCCCTTTCCTTGTATTTCTATTCTTATCGGTTTATACGTTACTTACTTTCTTCTTCAAAAGTTAGCTGTATTTCCCCACCGTCTTTTTTCCTTGTTACTTAGCGTGCATTAGTAATCAATGCACTTGCTTAACATTTATTTAAAGAAGAAATTGTCTTTTTTAAACAGCCTTAACTGGAAATACCGATGACTTTGAGGACATGAGACGTTATAATCTGCGTAAGTACCAGTCTTGCTGGTAAGTACACGTGCTTCAGATAACAGAAATCACACGTATACTAGTGCCTACTCACTATACATTGATTACAGGACACATGTTTATGTCTAAAACAATTTTTCTGATCACTCTACTTAACTGTTTTTAATAAAACCTTATTAAGCAACTTTTTCTGTATCATATCAGTATGACCCCCCGAAAAAGTTTTCAAGCTTGAATCAAATCATAGAGAATGCAATTTTTTTGATCAGAATGGAATATTTCCAGAGATTTTTTTTTTTTTTTTTGAAATAGATTCCTTTTGAAGCTTTATTCAGAGTAGTGCGATAAAATGAAATAAGAGTACCACCGAATAACAGCCGGAAGTTCAGGTCAAAGGGCACTTGACCCTATATAACTACCCATCCGCCGGAAAAACAGATGTGATTGTAGATATTGTAGATATTCTGTCTGTAACATCAGCATATCTATATTTCATTTTTTATAAAATGCTTTAAAGAATCCGTACTAGAATGTTTTGGAAGAGTTAAGTGTAAAAGCAGAATTATGATATAGTTCTGCGGGTTTTTTTTTCTTTCTAAAATATAATGTGATGATACAAAAGCTTTTTAATGATTGAATCAATTACATCTTCAGGGACTTCAGTTTTCGGCAATGAATGCAACGTGATGTTATATTCATTTTCGTAATGTGTATATAGTGGACTCAGAATTACAGGAATATATTCCGCGAGATACTAGTAAATCAGTGGCGTAGCTAGCAAAAAATTCACTGCATTCAAAAAAGACAAGGGGTCTGGTTCCGCCTTGAGGACCCCAGCGGGTCCAGGGCATGCAGGGCCCTGGTTGGAGACCCAGGGGGTGAAGCCCCCGAAAGCTCATGTAATATCATGGTTTTCTATTTTTTATTTTCGTAATTTTACTCTATATGAAGAAAAAAGTTGAGTTTTGGCACAATCCACAAAATCTGTTTCTTCAAAAGTATTTCCATTAGTATGAAGGCATTTCATTATCGACAGTGAAAAACTTTTATAAATGCGGCAGATCATACCTGTAACGTCCATTGAATGAAACTGATATTTTCTCAGGTATTACTTTTACAATCAGAAATGCAAAGTACTGTACGTGGAAGTGCAAGTTCGCCTTTTTTAAAATCAATTTACAAAAAATATCAAATCTGTCACATTTTAACGTTCAAAATACCATTTAATTTTTACTAAAGTTGGCTATTTGTTCAAATTTACTGAGCCCTTTCTTCATTTTTTTTTTCATTTCAAAAGCACCTTACCTTCATCGCAATATTGTTTTGAATAATAGGCCTAATAGAGAGACAGTTGGTAGAAAATAGAAAAAAAATAATTAAAAATTATAAACAGAAAAATCAATGTTTGATATGGAATATATTTCACAAGGGATCTTTTTTTTTAATTATTCATAATTTCAGCAGTGCGATATCCAACTACAAACATCGAATATCCATTTAAAATGCCATTATCAGTATATTTTCAAATATTGATTTTTTTTTTTTAAATAAAGTACTCGACTGCAACGCAGTAATTACCAGGGGAATGAATACTTTAATATATAATTGCTTTAAATTTAAGTTTTTACATAAATAATAAAATTACATAAGTAATAAATAAATAAATTAGATAAAACGAGAAGAAAACTGTATCAAACATCCATTAAAAAGTTTAAAGTTTTATGGTTAATATGTATGAATAAAATAAATCTGGAAAGTCTAAGTCTTTTCCTTTTCAAATTTCATATATATATATATATATATATATATATATATATATATATATATATATATATATATATATATACTTTTATCTATAATTGAATTTTCGAAAGCATTTACTGTTGAAAATCTGTGTATTCATTTGCGTTGTTACGTAAAGGTCTTTACGATACGTCACTGTAAATCATTCTTAGAAATGAAACTTACTCGTGAATAACTATCAGTTATATTGAGAAATTAAATCGGATCAAACATCGATTTCGTAAGGGCGATCTGCATTTTATCATATTTGCTAAATATTAACTGAAAGAAAAGACAGCTTTTCAGAACAAATTAAGTGTATAGCAAGTATATTTCTGAATATCTTGCTATGCTGTCCCATTCAATTGTATGAAATATGGTTTAATTTTACTTGATTTTATTTAATGTTTCTGAATTTATCTTACCTTAAATTGACTTAAATTTCAAATCCGTTAAAGAAAGACTGTCTATACCAGAGAAGCGACACGTGAGAAACTAATCTAGAAATCAACGCACTGCGGATTGTCGAGTTCCGGAAATGTTTCCCCAAGTACTTGAGAACATGCTATTAGAATCAGTGCATCACGGTATAAATATTTTGAGGAAAGTGAATCATTAAGTCCGTCAGTTACTGGTATGACATGAATCCGATGGGAGAGCAGGCGCGTAGCTGCCTATACGCAAGTACACATCATTTCAAAAAAATAAAAAATCTACATGAGAGAGAGCGAGAGAGAGATATCGTAATATCATCCAGGAAATATTTTCGTTTCAATTTTTTCTTTTGGTACATGTATATTATTTCGAATAAAATTTTGCGATAGCATGTCTATACAATCAAATGTGAAATCTATTATCAAATTATTACCAAATCCAAATAAATTATCTGTTAGTTTGTAAGTATTCTATAACATATTGACAATTTTTTAAGGATATTTGAGAAATTAAATTTTAATCATATCGTTGAATTAATCAAATAGTATATAATTTAAAATACAATACTTTTTAAACTAACATTTATTATACTTCTTTCTGAACATTATACTATAAAAAGTGCAGATGATACCATATCGGTAAAATATCCAGCCTCAAGTACTCGTATAATAAATTTCCGTGGAAGATAAACTTTGTGTTAAAACAATAATACTAAGGTTTAATTTCTAAAGAAAAGCGATATGTACAGCATATTGATTGAAATGTTTGGGAAAAAAAACCTTGGAGCTAGCTTCCGGGGGTCTCGCCCCCTAGGCCCCCATCAGGGTTTCACCCTTAACCTACTGGGAGCCCCAGGGCGGCCCCCAGTCCCCCTTCTGTTCCCTGCGTACACTTCACCTCCATTCTGGCTACGCGCCTGGAGAGGTTTATGACTATGTTCTGAATAAAACGGTGCAAAAAATCTTTGTGATCGAAATTCAAGATTGAGCAAATTTTTAGATACAATGTAAAGTACCTTTGTAATTTTACTCAATATGAGTCAGCACGATAAGTTTATCTTGCTTCCGTTGAGGTTGATCTGTCCATCGGGTATTTTCTACTGCGCTGATGCTTGCCAAGACAGTGATTTCCAGATAGAGACATTATTATAAAAAGACCATGTCGAAAAACTCCTAAATGGATCATTTTATAATAAACAGAATCCAGTGGTAAATCTGTACATAATAAATAGGACCAAGCTTTGACGCGGTCTACTTCAGAATACATGCAACTGAACACAGCAAAGTTATTCAGTCTGTGTTTAATTGAAACATTTATAATGGTGTGCTCTGTGACTTGTTAATATCTTAATGTCCACTAATGGAAAAATCTAATTAAATACTAATTTGATAAATGAAAGCAAGTCCAATTTAGAACGTTATTCACTTCATTATACTAATTGATCAATGTGGAATACGATATAAACTAGCAATTATAAAGGATAAAAAATAGCAGAGTTTGTTGCAAGTAGTTTTAATACACGTGTTTGGGTGATTTACTTAACGATTTGCATCAGTGTATGGCAAAATCGAACACACCCACGTAATAAGTTGTCCTCGGTTTGACTTTAATTATCAGATTGTCTCCCTTGTTGTTGGATCTCTGACACCACCATTCGTCTATAAATGATAAAAATATGAAGAAACAAAGAAAACTGGCACGTCACATTGCTCTTTGTACACATTACACAATTTCAATGTTAGATAAGATTTCATGATTTATTTCAAATATTTACATGAATATGTTGATTGCAAACTTAATTTGTGTATTACAGTGACAAAATAACATTACAATATTACATCAAAACATCACATAATAAAAATATTTTAATTTTTTTAACCAATACATTTTCAAGAACGCCCCTGATTGACCTTGACATCTGTGTGACTTACCTTGACCTTCCCTGTGTGACTTAAGCAGAAGTTCCTGACCTTCTGTAATCAGATAAAACTGGAATCCATCACTGATAAAGTTCGACTTAATACACGCAGTGTAAGGGAGACCACTTCCGCCAAATGTTACCAGCAGGAACGGGTAGGTGTAGTGCCACTCTATCTGACCGCTCCGACAGGTGGCGCGCGTCGTCAGGTCTGTTTCCACATGTCTGAAGGAATGAAAATTATCAAATGTACCATTACAAACGAAAAAGACTACGACAGTTCTGCAAGTGGAGCGAATTTCGAATTTCTAATTCATTGAATTTGACTTTTCGTAGTTGATATTAGCTTCTTTAATTTAATTTGGTACCTTTAACCCCTACCTGTCCTCATTCTTAAAAGAAAAGGAAGTCATTTTGCTTAGGATTGGGTCGCAATAACTCTTTTTGCGATTAATTAGGCTTATTTTAATGGTAATTTACAATTAAAATAATTTTCAAAAAGCAAACATAGTACGGAAAGCTGTGACTCAGTAGGAGTAACCATGTTTTGAGTACGAAAGCCAAAAACGGCTAGTTTCTTCAAGCAATTATGCAGGTCTTTTGAGATTGCAGGTTCGAATTTGACAAAACATGTCATTTTAAACGCAATTACACTGCTACATAAGCGAGTTTTTTTTCTCTAGAGGTTACTAAGATCTATGGTATTTGTGGCCTTGCAGGGATGAGGATGAGCGACCGGCTTGGTGGAACGTCTTGACCAAGCGGCCCTTGCATTTGGCATGGAAATCAGTGCAGAATATATAAAAACAACAATTTCAAGATTTCTGCCGCTGTATGTAGAATTATTCAATGTGATTTTTGATAGTGGCATAATACCAGAGGATTGGTTAATAGGGTTAGTTAAACCTATTTATAAGGGTAAAGGTGACAGAAACCATCCTGAAAATTACAGGCCAATTACGTTACTTAGTTGTTTAGGACTTAACTTTTCACCAGTATACTTTGTGACCGTTTAAATACTTTTGCTGATGAGGTAGAGTTAATCAATGAATCTCAAACAGGCTTTAGGAAAGGTTACTCTACTACTGACAATATATTTGTCATTGATTTTCTGAGCAAATATGCCCTGAATAATAAAAAGAAGTTATTCTGTGCCTTTGTAGATTTCAAGCAAGCTTTTGATACGGTCTGGAGACATGGTCTATGGACTAAAATTTTACAAAGTGGAATTGATGGAAAATGTTTAAGATTTATTAGAAACATGTATAAGGGTATTAAATCAAAAGTACAAATAGGTCAACACTTATCAGATTTTTTGATGTGCAATGTCGGTGTAAGACAAGGGGAAAATTTATCACCTTTTCTATTTTCATTGTTCATTAATGACCTAGAGGATTATTTAACCAGAAATCAAATAAATGGTTTTACTTGTCCTAGTCAACAAATGCAAGATGACATGTTTGTTATGTTGAAACTATGAATACTTTTTTATGCTGATGATACTGTCTTATTGTCTGAATCTGCTTCTGATTTACAAAAGTCTCATGATGTGTTTACTGAATACTGTGATTTATGGAAACTCCGTGTTAACATAGCCAAAACAAAATTCCTTATATCTTTTATATCTGTCCGATGGCAAAACGTGAATTTTTATATAATGGTGTGGCTATTGAAAATGTGAGAGAATTCTGTTACTTGGGTTTATTCCTGTCAAGAAGTGGAAAGTTTAATAATGCAAAAAAACATTTAGCAGAACAAGCTTCAAAAGCAATGTATGGAGTCTTACGTAAAATTTTTATTTACCAATTAATTGTCAGCTAGACTTGTTTGATAAAGTCATCAACCCAATTTTACTTTATTCTTGTGAAGTCTGGGGATATGAAAATTTAGACATAATAGAAAAAGTACATCTAAAATTCCTGAAATATATTCTTAATCTTAAATCTAGTACCCCAAATTGCATGGTGTATGGAGAAACAGGTAGAAATCTATTGTCATTATTTATAAAATTAAAAATGGTTATATACTGGGCAAAATTTTGAACAGCCCATGAAAGTAAGCTTACAAATGTGATTTATTCATGTTTTTATAGGTGTTATATCGATGGGTCGTTTGTACATCCATGGATAAAATGTGTACATTCAAGATGTGCTTAATTCTTGTGGATTGTCTTGTATATGGACAAGTCAAACATTTCATAGTTTTAACTGGCTTAAGTCAATTATTAAAGATACCCTAAAAAATCAATTTGAACAAGAATGGAGAAGCATTGTTGATAGTTCACCCAAGTGTATTAATTATAGAATTTTTAAAACAAACTTTGGTTTCGAAAATTACCTGCTGAATTTACCAAAAGATTTAAGAGTTACACTTACAAAACTACGAACGTGTAATCATCATTTGCCAATTGAAACAGGTAGATGGAATAATACTGATAGAAATTTAAGAATATGTACCATTTGTGATTGTAAAACTATTGGTGATGAATTTCATTATGTTATGGAATGCAAGTTCTTTTCGAATGACAGAAAAATATTTCTCCAAAATAGATATTGTAAAAATCCTAACACTTTCAAATTTAATGAACTAATGAACACAAATAATGTAGAAATACAAAAATCATTGTCAAAATTTATTAAGAAAATCTTCAAAACTGTCTGTCCTTCTTGAATCCTCCATATATATAACTGATTATATGTTTACTTTCTTTTCTTTTTTCTTTATATACTTGTCTATTTTTTTACCCTTGACTGTAATTTTTGTTTGTATATATGTGTATACAGTGTATGTACCTCTTGTACCAATGAGTGATCTGGTTTTGAGTGAATAAAGAATTGAAACAGAAAGACCAACAACACCCAAGGCATTACCTCAAAAATTAAGGTCAGTGGAAACATTGAAGACATTTAAGTACCTCGGATCCATTATATTAGACGAAGGTTTCAAAGCAGAAATTATTGCAAGGATCGTCTTCAGGATCTGAGGTATAGATGTTTTAAAGATTTTTAGGGGTTGTCTTGTTCCCAATGGTGCTCGTAAATATTATAAAAGGGAAAGAGGTCTTTTAGAAATAATGGAAAATGATTGTTTGATACCGCAATTTCGTTTCTTTTCTTTTTTTTTTATCCAGCCTGTAATAAGTTCGGTAGATGTAGGGGTCGATAAGAGACTTAAAGCATCGTATTTTTCGTAGGGAAAGGGAGCAATTATGATTTTTCCATTGAAAATAATTTCCCCGCACAATATGAGTATTTGATAAGTATTTAGAATAATGAAAAAAATTGTTTATCCCCGCACATTATGATGGTCTTACTGATAGTTATTTTATTAGTATTAAGAGGTATGAAAAAATTATTTATGCATTTTATACATTTTATTTATTTTTTTTTTGTATTGTATTTGATTTTGTAAAGCTATTTTGGCCAAAGTATAGTCAGTTGGCTGTTGTTGCTTAGAACACCGAAATGGTCCCTGGGCCTCTCTTTTTTAATATAACTAGATGAAATCCCGCGCAAGCGCGGGGAATTGAATTTATACCACTACCGACAGAAAATATATTGTAGTTACTACCGATAGCCTACAGGCTTATAGCAGGAAGAAAAACTTTCTTCAAAATCCCGCAAGAAGTAGATGTACGTCTCCCCCCTCCCCCAACTTTTTTTGTAAAACTTGAAAAAATAACAATGTCATTAATTGACGTTTATTGTGAAGCCTATTATACTACGTTATGGATATTGTACATCAGATCAGATGCTCTTATTTCATTTCGTCAAGGATAAAAGCAGCGAATATGCACATTTTACTGATAAATTGATTGGGGGGGGGGGATAAAAAAAATCGCAGGTACGTGGGTCTTAGTTTATAAATAAAGATGTACCTTATTGATATGTAAAAAATGTACTTTACTTTTTTTTTTTTTTACATATTAATAAGGTGCATACATACTTATAAACCAAGACCCAAGTACCTGTGCAAAATTTAGCTTTTAACGCCCTATGAATACTGACAGACTGTATTCAGAAAAAAAACTGAATGTATTGATTAAAGCACAAAATTTTACAGCTTTAATTGTTTTTGAACAATACCTTATTCATTAATTTTCTCTTTTTATGTAAGCAAGTTTATTACGAAGTACAAATTGTACTTCGGGTTCGTTGCCACGATGCTCTCAGTAAGGAATATTTACAAATTTTACGCCACCGTACTCACGTTTTAGCTATTTCATGGCTGGTTATAGAGAATGAAAGTAGACTTTTAATTTAATGTATGATACTTACTATGCGAGTGAAATCTAAATATAGTTTAGGGACATTATCTTGTATGTAGTGTGTTGTTAGAGGAGTAAGAACTCTGGTGCACCCGTTTCAGAGTTTATTTGCAAAATTTATTAATTTATAAGTATAGATAGGGTGCGTTATTTTTTTTTTTCCAGAGAAGCTTATCTCGGTTTTATTTTCATCGATTTTACGTTAACTCAAATTTATTGAGAGAAAGTATATTAATGTCATACCAGTTATGTAAATGCATATATTTGGATTGGAAAGATAGAGAGTTGGTTGAGGGACCTTCTACCTGTCTTCTAATCGTTTTTGATGAGGGTAGATCAATTCATTAAAATAATGATGTCTATTACTAAAATCCAAGTCCAGAATTTTTGTTTTGCATATTTTTTCAAAGTGCGTTAAGGAGGGAATCTTCTCATATTTCTTGTATTTAAAAATTAATGAAATTTTCATAGATTCAAGAAGACATTATCATTAAGTGATGGTATCAATTAGATTAAATTTGACCGTTTTATTTTAAAAGCAAGGTCAGGTCAAGGTCATTATCTTTTTTTCTTGACCTTAAGAATAAAATATTACTGTTGCCAATCATACAATGCCTACTTCTATTTCAAAAGATTAAATGTTTTTCTTTTTGCATTAAAAGATATTACCATATAGGGTCTATTAGATGATACTAACAACTTGACATAAATAATTTAACTAAAATAGATATTGGCTAATCCAAATTTCCTCTGTTTTTCCTAGAATTTTAGGATATAGTATTTTTTATATGCTTCGTATATTTAAAGTTTTCTTATTTTCACATATGGTAAAATAGCCATATAAAGATACAAATTGATACCAAAAAAAAACAAAAAGTTTTGATCGTTTACTAAGAGAGAAAAAACACTTCTTACGGATTTTTGCTCAAATCTGTATTTAGATTGGAAGCTTTAAAAG